AGGGGGGGGGAGGGAGGGAGGGGGAAGGGAGAGGGAAGAGCAGAGGGGAGGGGGAGAGGGGAGGAAGGGGGACGGCAGAACACCTGTCCTCCCGACGCGGTTAAGCTACTGGCTCCCAAGCAAGGGATTCCGTGATGTTGGCAACCTTGAACATCTGCGCATATCTGCACATTTGATTTTATCTTGACAGACAAAAAAAAAAAAAAAAAAAAAAAAAAAAACTACACAGCGACATGACATCTCGATTACCATGCTGAGTGTCCATAAAAAATATGGATAAAATCCGGGTTTAATAATTGACAAACAGCAAAAATTACTGATCGACTATTTGCGTTTGAGAGATCGGCGGATATGATAGGTAATACACATTACGAGCTTGCACACCCGCGCTCATTAATATTTACGCTTAATCACTTAAATTTATGTAGATATAAACATTCATATATAGATGACTCTAAAAATGTGAGCATAGGCGGCATTCTAAAAGCCTCGTCTCCGCCGAGTCGCCTCCGAGATTTACGAGCCGAGTCTCCGTCCACCTGCGCCCCTGGAAGAAGCAGGGCCGCCCAAATCCCTTTTGGGTCCCACACGCGCACGCACTTTCCCTTCCTCCAGGTTCGGGGCTCAGGAAAGCCCTCTAATCTCGCGCCCTGAAGCCCTGGACGGCCCCCGGAGCGGCGTCCGCGGCCCCAGGGGTCCCGACCACAGGAGCGGGCCGCCACCCCCACCGCAAGCACGTGTGAAGAACATGGGCACGCCGTCGGGCACGCTCGTCCGTGAGTGATGGTGTCGCGCCCGCTGCTCGCCTCCCGTTTAGGCCTCCGCCGGTTGCCTTTGGGCCGCCCTAGATAGGCCCGCGAGGGATCATCAACGCCCATATGCATACAAGGATCCCAGGGCGTTCGAAGGGCTTGCTCAGCCGAGGCACCCCCGCCGCCCGCGTCCCCCGAGCACCAGGTCCTACGGTCGGGGAGGCGCTTAAAGGTGACATCCTTCGCCCTTTCCGCATTGGGATTCCTCCGACGTCGCTCCGTCCATCAGTCCCGGCGGAGAATAACAACCCCGGTCCGTCTGCCGTTGAAGGAAGGGAATGTGGAAGGACTTACGGAGGGATCACTTCCCTACGTCCGATTTCCTCCTGGGAAGTCCTCCAAGTGTTCGATTTCGTTCCGCGTGGCCTCTGCATCTCCTCGCCCCCACCCTCCCCCTCCCCCTCTGATGTACGCAAAAGTCCCCCCCCCTCCTCCTAAACCAAAGCCGACAGAGTACGCACGCTGCACTCGGGAATTGATAATGGGAAAGCGTGTCTAAATCCCCGGGCGTCCAGAGTGCCTCCTGCATAATTCCCGGGGGTTTTCGGCGTTTATCATAAGCTCATCAGCCCAATGCGATTGGACGCTGCCATCACTACGAGGGCAATAAAGCACATCCCGGGAAACAGAGCGACGTCACAGCACAGCAACATCCCAACTTCCAAACTTCAAAGACGAACTAAGATAATAATAACAATAATAAACAAAAAATAAAATAAAATCCAAGACTTTTAAACCCTTAAAACTTCAAAACTTCCAAGACGAAACGATAATAACAAATAATCAAATAAAATCCAAGACTTTTAAAACCCTTAAAACGTCGATCTCCACCTCGGCTCTTAGGGAATTCACGCCAGTTCGTTCCACCACCACCAGAGGGCTCTCAAACCTCCCAAAGAGCGACCCCTGCAGATGTTCATTAATCACTGTAACAAATAATTAGGGTCAGATCCGAGATAAGTCACAGCGTGCTCCCCGACGCCCTTTCATGCGCCAGAGCCCCGTTATATGGGCGTAAACTTGCCCGCCCATCCTCTGAAACAACTCAACTACCCACTGCTCAGGGAAGGGGGAGAGAAGTACAATCCTCTCTCCTTTTTAGGTCTTCGAAATCCGCGAATAACGCCAGGACTCATCAATAACCGCACTTTCTCCTCCCTGAACTCGCAGCCGACTAAATGCAGACTCATCACAGGGGAATATCTTCATTACTCATCTTATTCAGGGGCGAAAAGGCGAACCGTTTGGTACGAAGGCTGTTTGAGCAGAAATGGAAGTAAAAGAAAACGGAACAAAATGTTGAGAAAACGAAAAAATAGAAAGAAAAAAATAGGAGGAAGAGCAACCCAGAGAGAAGAGAAGAGATGGAGAGAAATGAGAAATGAGAGAGAGAGAGAGAGAGAAGAGAGAGAGAGAGAGAGAGAGAGAGAGAGAGAGAGAGAGAGAGAGAGAGAGAGAGAGAGAGAGAGAGAGGAGAGAGAGAGAAAGAAAGAAAGAGAGAGAAGAGAAAGAACAGAAAGAGAAAGACAGAAAGAAAAGAAAAAACGAAGGAGGCGAGAAAGAAGGAAAGAGAGCCGACGAAGGGGAAAGGACGGGTAGGAGGCAGGCCAGGAAAGGACCCAGGCATGCGGTGGTAAATTTCAGAGAGGCTGATGACTGTAATTGTGAGATAATTTAATCTCTATGCTATAAAAGCCTTTTGGAAGACGCGTGGGTGGCCTGAGGTGGCAGGGAGAAGGAAGGGTAAGGGAAAGGGAAGGGATAGGAAGAGATAGGAGGAGGGGGGATGGGAAAGGATAGGAAGAGGGAGGGATAGAAAGAGGTAGGAAAAGGAGGAAGGGATAGGAATGGATAGGGTGGGAAGGGAATGGAGGGAGGAAAAGGAAAGATGATAACAGATTTAAGAAAAAGGATATAAGAGAGAAAGTTGAAGGAGAAGGTAGGAAGGAAAGGATAGATAATAAAAGATAAACACAAGGAAAAAGGGAGATGGGTGGATGGGAGACACAAGGAGAGGGAGATACAGAGTGAGTGGAAGGCTCGAAAAGATAGCTAAATAGATAGATAGACATAGAGAAAGGCGTTCAGCAGACGTCAGGGCTTGACTTCCCACCCATCGTCGTGCAGCGGCAGCGGCTGAAGGCTGTCAAGCCCGCGATGACCGCCGCAGCTTCTGGCAGTCATACAAAAGGCTTAATAATACCTCCTGCACGTAATTCGCGTCTGGAGACTCAAATACGCGCATCCATTCCAAGGCTAGCGGGGAAAATCTAGAACGCGACCAGAAAGGCTCCATTAATGAAGAAATCGCCACAATACACCAGAAACTCCTCCTCTGGAATCATGAGAACAAGGTGTAATTGCAGTCGCTCGCACGGCCTCACGACGCGCTAAATCGGGCACTCCGCAGAGTCCTTCGGGGCGTGACGTAAGGGGGTACGCCCGGTGCCACACCCACAAGGGCGCGGCGGTGCAGTGGCAGGGTGCAGACGCCCACGCCTCCTCGGGTCATGCCCCGTGATAAGGGCGGCGAGGCCTGACCTGACGGGGGAGGCCAGCGCCGTCGGGTCTCCTCCACCCTCTCCAGCTGGACAATTAACATAATTCTGGTACTGCCACGCCCCTGGGGAGAATGAGGGAAGGAAGCGAAGAAAGGGGGAGGGGGGGGGGCAGTTCCCGTCGCTGGTGCCCTTTGGATTGGTTCCTCGCACACTCCGTCGGGGCAATTGTCAGTGCCGCATTGTGCCCTCGGCCGACGGGATGTTGACACAATGTCTTCCGCGCGACGTGACGGGATGGGGGCCACTTGAAAGAGGGGGAGGGGGGGGGGGGTTAAGAGGGAGGAAGGGGCGCCTTTCAAAGCCCCCCCCCCCCTCGATCTGACCATCTGCCGTTGCGTCACCCACGTCACATGTACTTTTAGTGCCACCCGTGACGCAACGAAAAACCCCCGAAGACAAGACGAACACGAGCGACCTACATCACAGGGGCCACAACCCAGCACTCACCTTCGCCCACAAACCGCAGTGATGGGCCCTATAAACCGATCTCAAGAAAAAAAAAAAAAAAATACTCCTCTCCCTCTTCCTCTCCCCCTCCCACCTTTCCTCCCCCCCGTCCTGAACACCCCCTACATCCCCTCCTGCAGCACACCTCGCCCCGTGCCGCCGCCCCTCCTCGTCCCGTTGGCAGATTGACTTACCCAGGTGTCTCCATGACAACAATCAATGACCCTAACACCGTAATAAAGAGAGCTCTGTCACGCGGCACTCAGCGGAAGAGCTTATGTGAGATTAATTTTTCATAACCCTTATGATTCATATTTCACTCACAAACACAGACACTTCAAATAATATCAATTATGAATGGTTAATGAATCATTTACGGCCCTTATCGGCTTAATAATGCAGCTAATAATACAACTGAACTATTTTATAAACCTAGAATATAAATCATAAATGTAAATCTATCATTCTAGTCTAGGACAATAACAGAAGCACATACAAAACAGACAATACAGTTAACGAGGCCCAAATAGAAGCATTTACAGAGATAATTAACAAGCACAAACACGCGGAAAAATTTTCTACAGCCTTGCGAATCACCAGCACTTTGTATCGGCACATGCAGAGCACACGAAACTGAGCGACACAATTAGGGGGGAAAAGGGGGAATATTTCACCTCGATTTCAATACAATGTGGGAAAGTGTTCACTCCAGTTTCAGTCAGAAAACGATTATTCACTTTTAGCACAGTCAACATCAAAACTCTTTGTCACTTTCAGAAGGACCGACTCAGTTCATGTTTTTAGTCCAAGCGATTTCACACACTCGCCGAATGCAATTACACATTACGCAACATGCTCAAAGCAGACATGACAACAGCATCGACTTGCAAGCAGCATTAGATCGTGCAGTTCAACACTTCATCGGCACACAAGTCACCTCTTGCAGTGTCAATATCAGATCATTTCTCCGCCTCCGTTACGAAGGCAGAATATATCACACACTTATCACAAAACACTTATATTTAGCGCAGCACTTTTTCTCCGACAAAGCCACACAACACTGCGAAATCATACAACACTATCTCAAGGCTTTGTGGTAATGCGAGGTCTGCGGGATTCATGCGAGAAGAGCGAGAAGAGAAATAAAGGAGAGAAAAGAGAGAAAGCGAGAGAGACCCACCAGTGCTTCTATCCGCACCCG